ATAGTATCGTTGCTTCTGTATCACTACATCAAACGTGTTAATCCTTTCGCTTCGTTAATTCGACCACGTTTTGTTCTTTTACAAGGATAGTCTCATCGCGTGAAACTTTTTTTCTCAGGAGGGGAGGGAAATACGAGCTGTGAAATTTTCAGATTTCGATACGTGCTACAAATTTTCACATTCCTAAGCTTCTTACGTTTAATTGAAAATTTTTAGGATTTATGTTTTACTGTGCTTTGTTAATTACGTTTCGTTGTATAAACTATTGACCAAGATACAAAAAGCAGATAAATTGAAATTTTGATTTCTGCATTCGTAAGTTTCTTACGTTTATTTTAACAGTTATTTTCATTATTTTACGTAAAATTACCAAGATAAAAAAAGGGGATAAACTGGAATTTTGATTTTCATTATTATAACACAAATTTTTGCATTCCTAAGTTTCCTACTTTCGAATTAAAAATTTTAAGGATTTATTCCTTCACGTTTCACTATTTATTGCAAAGAAATTGTCGCATTCCCAAATTTCCTGCATACGAATTACAAATATTAAGAATTTATCACATTTCAGTCAATTATATCGTACCATGTGTCATTAGTTATGCCTTAAACCGCTAAAATTACCTGAAAACCTGTCTCGGTATCATCGTGCTGAGAAATGCGGGGACAATCTTTAAAAATGATCTAACAGTCACGACACGTATTGTACGGTATTAAGAAACGTACCGAAGGGCTGTAACCCGTTCTTGTAGAGATTTCTTGCGCGACTCATCACTATTTAGACTAATCCCGCGAGCATTTTTTCCGTTTTTCTCTTGAGTGACCTTTTTCACAATTTCCAAGACGCTGAACTTTTAGCACGCACCGTGCCACGAGGGAAATAAAACAAAAATAGTTGAAAAGTCACGTCAAAATAATTAATTATAGAAAAATAGCAACAGTACTTAGATTCTTGCCACTTTAACCCTTTTCTAGAGACATCTTTATTTTTGCCTTTATCGCAGACTGATAGTCTCACAGAATACTTAATTTTATTTATTAAATCGTTGTAAAAATATAGCTAAGATTTGTTTAGTGATATACATTTGCCTGTTAACAATTTTTTGCAACACTCTATAAAAGCTGTTCATGGTAAACCGTGATGAATTAATTTCAATTATAAATGTAATTTGAATTTTTACTGCACTGAAATTATATTAAAATGAGTTACAGCAGAATCGACCATTTTTGTTACACAATTTTTAATAAAAATTCTAAATAACGTATGAAATTGATATCTTGTATTTTTATGTAGAAAAAATGGGAAGGAAAATAATTCAATGGTGAAAAAATATTAAACTTCGAAAAATTAGTGAAAATCAAATGGTAATTATTGATAGCCTGTCGACAAACTGCCAACCGATGGCAATTTAAACTAACAAAATATTTACCACCATAAAGTTAAATTGAAGAATAAACACGTTTTATTTCTTTATCCTCTGTTTTATTTATTTTTTCACATTCAGTATTCTTAGCTTGCACAAAACTTACACTGTAAGTTATAAAGGTTTTTACCTAGAAGAAATTTAATTTACCATCTGACGATGGATGGATGTATCACCCTGTGGTACAGGTAACAGTGAACTAAAGATTTAACCACAGACGAGTCGTCTGTGATTTAACATTTAGCGATAAAAGGAATGAAAAATAAAACAGCTGGGTAGTCAAGTTTTAAATAATTTTCAATAAATATAAATAGTAACATTTCCTACAAAAACATATTCAAATGCTTAAAATACATAATATTCCCTGCTGTGTTGTATAAACTCCCTAATATTCAGATTTTATATTCTGTTTCGTGTAAAACAATTCTTTTAAATACAGGTTATAGATCTATACTTCTCTGTATTAACGTAAATAGATGATTTGCTTTCTTTCTAAAATTAAACGTACAAAAACGCATATAAACAGATATTAAAAGCATCGTAAATTATTTGTTTTCAAAGCTTTCAACACCACGTCACTAAATAATAGATTGTTGCATAATAAAAATGATTAGAAAATAAAAGTTACATATATATATAAAATTCGATAATTTTGCTTTAATCTACTAACGTGTAAGTAAACTAAAAAACTGTTTATCGAGAAATAAAGAAAAAATTGAAGTAACAAAGAAATACAAATTATACTTTTCTTTTCCCCTTATTCTCCTCTCGTTCTATTTATTTAATATACTTCATCGAGAAGAAATTTTACGAAATATTTCCTTAAAAATAAGATTCTCTTCGGAATACCAAAAAGAATAGTTTTGCTCGAGCATTTTCAGGATTGCGTTCACTTACTTTAAAAGCTGGTTTTCAATGAAACCTTGAAGTTAATGCTACATTTTTGTAACTTTTCTGAAGCTATTCTCGAAAAATTATATTACGCTTACTGCACCTTTTCACACTAAAGAATACAATGTTATTCGAAAAGTTCTGACAAGGTGCTCTAAAAGTTCAAATATTCTACAGAGCAATCATTAAAATATTTTTGATTCAATTCTTAATTTCGAATTCTTAATTCAATTCTCCAAATTCGAGTGAAACGTATTGGTTTCGCTATTCTTTCGATAGAAAAATCTAGTTTAAATTTTAAGTGTACAAGATGAAAGGGGGAACGAGTGGTACGATCGGACCGAGGATGAATTTAGACGTAACAAATTAACCGAAAATATAGAATGTAATTTTTTCCATGAGTTTTCAAGAAAATCGAATTAAAAAATTTATTGAATACGCGTAAATCTGACTATCTCTCTCGGCTTACACATTTGTACTAATAAGCGATGTCAATATCGTGATACGTACTGATAACACATTTATTAACGAATTTCTTAATTTACATTTACATTACTGAACGAATTGTTGAAAGTGACGTCCTTCTTGGCGCATTACATATCCTTGTTCTTTGAATCAAATAGTCGTGAATTGATGCCACGATGTTTTAACACTTTAAACTGTTCGAAAGCCTGCACGATTTTGTTCCTCTAGCCATAGAAGAACTACACTATATTCTGCGACGACTGTTTCTTCGTAAAATATGACCTTACCACTGTTTACCAACATAAAAATATAAGCGGAAGCAACAGGTTATAGCAAAATCCATTAAGTGTAGAAATAGTCAAGTGCATGCATATCTAGCGAATCTTTAAATTTAATTTCCTAGAAAACTATGCATTTTATGAAAAAATTTTATTCTATATTTTCGGTTTATTTTTACATGTAGAATCACCCATTCTTCCGATTGTATCACCCTTCCCGCCCTGCCCTGCATCATATATTGTCAGTATCTAGTTTGTCTATCTTTTCTATGTTTTAAAAATAATTATACATTTGAAAATTGGCAGCAATACATTGGCATGTTAATATTGCTTTGTAACACATTTATAATAACCTCTTTATTATTGCAAATTATCTACAGATATTTTTCTCTTCGCGTAACCGATCCCAGTGTCCTCGTATCACATTTAAAATAAATTTCGTCTACTATTTTCATTAATGTACTACTATCCAAAATGTTAAAACAATACAAATTTTTCATTGCTTAAAAGGATTACCAACTGGTTGTTCGAATTCTTCAGTGTAAATATTAATCGATTGCCAAATTGAAGATCCAATAATAATTCCAATCACAAAATTAAACAAAAACGATTTGTTTCAATTACGTGTATTATCGCTTTTTTAACATCTAAACATGTGTAAGAATAATGTAAAGTCCAACATCTATCTATGTATCAACTTTATTACATATTTATTACTAACTAAATGACAGTAATACCAATTCACAAAATAAAGAATTTCGTTTTTCAATAGTTTGCAATTCGTAATGGTACATGTTGTATTTTTTTTAAATGATACTTTTAAATAATATTATACTGATATAATAAATAGATAAGTTGTATTGAAATGCTGAATTACTTAAGCATGATCAAACGTTTAGGATATTTTACCGTGAGTAAGCCCTAAATGTATTATCCATTTCATTCCTTGCATCATATTATTTATTAAATCCATTTTTTACCAAGAAAACAACATTCAGAAAAAATATTTGAGTACATGATAGCAATATTTTTACAAAACATATACTTGTTTAGAATGTACAGTTATTTGCTTGTAGTTTAAATTATATGTTGAAAGTAAAATTTTGCATATCATCAAAGGTATGTAAGTACATATTTGTGGAAATTTTGTGCACTATATTCAACTTTTTAAACATAGATTGCACACAGTATGATAATTAATGAAACAGTCAAATATCATTATTACTATATTCAAACAAACTTTCATTTGAAAAAAAAAAATAGGCTGAAAATTTTCACTTAATTGTATATATTTACACAGAAAGAATGTAGATTAACATAATCATGGGACATAATTATGGATTCAAGATCAAATAATTGGAATTTTCTGTGGATATTAAAAAACTCTTGTCTTACACTATGCTAATAAATAAAAACCTGCAATATATAAGTGTTGTTACAATAGCTATACACTTTAAAAATGGAACTTCATACTTGCAGATAATTTCAATACTTTTGTATGCCTATCATTTAACATGATTAATTATAAATAAATGCCATATTGATTTCAAATTAATTCAATTATCATATCTCTCACCCAACATTGTTCCATCATGGAAATGATAACATTATGATTACCAGACAACCAGTTAGTAGACATTGTAAAATACAGAAAAATGTAATATTAGTATAATATAATGAACGACTCAGTACTGTTTCTTTTCCAGGGATACATTAAAGGTACCGAAATAAAGGCTATAAATTACTGATTGCTCAAGCCATTCTGTAATCGTATATCAAAAAAATGTTTACGCAACATACTACATTCACTTACTGTTACTACAAAGGTATGTTTTTAAGTAAAAACTAGTAATCCATTTAAATTATACCTTTTTGCTGAAATAGGAATCTTCTTACAATTGATGTTTTTCAATATCAGAAGATTCTTTATAAGTTTGCCTGACAAACTGCTGAAGAAATCTAAACACGACGTCTTTGTATTCCCCGCAATATAGAAAATACAGTTTCATTCTGTTTACTCTTACAAAACTTTTATTATTTTTATAGCAAAATTGTGGACACAGGTGCAGGGTACGCAGCTGGTGCGGGTAAAGTGATTGGTAAACTCGGAAAGATAGGGGTAACGTCACTTCACATCATGGATGATCTAAGATCAGTTGTCCATAGCGTATCTCCGAGTCCATTCTTTGGCATTGCGTATTGCTTCGCTTTCATTTACTTTCCAGAGTTCAGCTACATCATTTGCCAAAGGATCATCTGGATTTGGTGCGCTTAAAAGTGCTTGTATTGATAATAAAACTGTTCTGATTTGAAGAGCAGGACTCCATTTATCTTTAAGAATATCCAAGCAAATCCTGCCCAATCTATATGAGAGTTAAAATAATATTACATTTTATTTAAATTTACACTTTACTTACATTTCACATTAAAAATATACATATTATAAAATATGGAAATAAAAAAATTTGGAAAATTAACATAAACTAAATATTTACATTATTAGAAAAGGCAAAAAATCTTTTGAAATTCCAAAAATGTCTATATGATTACCTGTCTATATTTGGATGATAAATTTTTGTAATGAATCTAACTTTAGGAGCAGACATTGGATAGTCTTCTGGTAGGAACAACTCAAGTTTAAAAAGTCCACCTTCGAATGGTGAGTCTTCAGGTCCAGTTACAATTACATGAAAATACCTAGCATTTGTATCATCTGGCACAGCACTGATACCAGGAACTGGCTCTTGCATTAGTCTCTGTGTTTCTTTGATAATCCTTCGTGGTAGTGCAGCCATTTTTTATGAAATTTCTCTAGAAGAAAGTTTCTATGCTCCCTCTAAATCGTTAATTAACAAACATATATAAACTAGAATAAGACTATGATTTATAATATGAAAAATATTGAAATCTGCAATTTATTATTTATTTCTAATAAGTAATTTTGTTACAAACTTATATACAAATAACAATGTCGTTAATCTTCACTGATATACTTTAAAATGTTGTAACATCTTACAAAATGATGCTATATGCTTGTCACTTAAGAATATAAAGTATATTACTAAAGATAAATAAATAAATAGATATTATAAACTAATATAATTAGCTTTAACATCTTTTACTTATCCAAATGCATACATCAAATTGTTTTATAATTTTTCATAGATAGTTTACATGAATATGTCACAAGATACATAATGAAGCGGATATTAATTTTTCTAGCAACCTTATCGCAAAATATAAAATACATACAAGCACATAATAGTACAGTTTGCAAATGACCAACAAAGGAAAACTTAGGTTATCACAGACCGTTTCCTTTTATTTCTGTAAGTATAAGATACACCAAAGAAAATCCAAAACAATCAAATGATATAGCTCTCACATAACTAATAATTAATACCGATTTACTGCTAATTGACAGTTCGCCACGTTCGTGTTGTTTTACCCAAAGAAATATTCCTTACACTACTCTGTGCAACCAAACAAATGATTTAACAGAAATTTCCCTGATATTTAATATGAACGACAAAATTGAATAAATTGTTCACAAAACGAACAATAATGTAAAATTCGAATTTTTTCTGTAATATTTCTGCCAACCTCTAAAGCTGCTAAAAGATTTTTACATATGCACATACAAAGAATTCATACACTGCGTCACGTACTGTGTAAAACTGAACGGTACAGAGTGTTTCAGTTGTGTAAGAATGTCTGAAATATGAGTGGTTTACGTGCAGCAGTAAAATACGTACGATTATCTGAAAATATCCCCGCGTCACCCCGCAAAGTGTGGCAGATCGTCCACCTCTCCAGTAGCCTTTTCTTCTAGAAACCTCGAAATCGATTTTTAATCCTATTTTCGCAGCACTTTTCGGTCTCGTGATAATCGGCTTCACAGCCGACTTCAAATATCTGTCTAGGATCTATGGTACAACCCTAAAGAGACACTTTAACGAAGTGTTAATTAAATTTCCACACGTAAATGTGTGTTACAGCCCTTGCAACCGCTTCTCGCGATTCATCTTATCACGCGTTGATGGCGCTGCACGCGAATTTACTGCGTAAACCAATTTAACAATTTCTTAAAGAAATAAGCAATACGATGGCTTTTAAATTTAATTAATCTATACAGACCGAAGAGAGGTCGTGTTCTTATGTAAAAGTTCAGTCAATTTGTTATAGTGTAGTTGTCATTTTATTATCTTTTATGTAACCAATAAGGCTTGGCCAGGTTTTAAAAGCAAAAAAATTTTTGTTTATCATTATACTTTATTGCTTTGTTTTTAATTTTAATCAGAAAGTTCTTTTTCTTCGTATATTACAATTTTTAACAATGTTTCGTGATACATTTACAATTAATCAAACAATTGTACATGTACGCGATCCTCTTTTTGAAATACCCTACAATAAAAAATTATTGTTTTATTTAATAGATATCTATATTGTACAAGGAAATATAAAAAATGTTTATACATAGTATGCATGCAAATGTAAGCAAGAAAACGATTTGAGAGTTGTTGCAGAATTGAATTAAGAAGCAATATGTAAAAAAAAAGCAGTGGTACACTCTTAAGTAATAGTTTAAAAGTATAGTTATCGAAATTAATAATAATATAAAATTTTACAATATGATTTTAATTAGCTATTATATTAAAATTATTTCAAGCATTATATGTATCAATTGATACCGCGGCTGCATTTTTTAATGCAGCAACATCAGTGCAACCAACAACCTACCGCGAAACTTAGAAGATATTTGTCATAAAATGTAATGCTATTGAAATGTCAGTTCGTAGTTCTCGTTATTTACAAATGATTTGTAGTCAACCGTCCTTTAATATTTTGTAATTGTAGTTACATTAAAGGTAAGTTATAAATTAGGAATATATACGTTACTATAATTTAAAGTTTATAGTGTAAGACGTAAATAGACGTGTAAACATAAACGTATTTATCGATTATATTGTAAGTAATTAATACTAGTGGTGCAGTTAAAGTTTAATTGTTTAGTCATTGAAATAAGTAATTATTACTCGTTCCTTTGTAACACTTAAATGTAAGTGACAGTAATATAACCTTAAACTTACAGTAAAATATTTAAGTTTTGATTTATTATATACCAGTTGAAATGCTTCAATTAAATATAAAATTTGTTTTCGCGAAGTTATTGTTATTTTAATTTCTTATTTTTTGTAAAAAGTAAAGGAATATGCATATGTTACATTGTTAAAGATAACAAAGATTCATTAGGATTTGGTACTGAAATATATTACAACAATTATACAAATGTTATATGATCATGGTTTCTTTGTAGAAATTTCTTAAAAATGGCTGATGTAAGGTTACTTATACAAGAAGAAGGTCGGGCAGCTAGAAATTTAATAGCTTTCAATGTGCCAGTTGGAACAAATAATGCTGAGAAGGTTACAAAAAAGCCCCCTAGTGTTCCAAGAGTATCACAGACACATGCTACTAAAAGATCTATGAAACCAACAACTAGAGTAAGATCAGCTTCTACTGGTAGAGATAAAAAATCTGGTAAGTTAATTTGAAGAAACACATTTAGTGATTTTTCATTTATTATTTTTAAGTTTACATTTATTATTACTATCACCTTTCTGTAAACAACTTTAAGTAAAATATCTTTCATTTTTCTTGCATTAGAATTACAGGCAAGGTATTGGGCTTTCTTATTTGGTAATTTGCAAACAGCAGTAGATGGTATTTATCAAACTTGTGAGGAAGATGAAAATATTTCTGAATGTAAAGAAGTGATACTAGTTTTAGAGAACTATACCAGAGATTTTCACAATTTAATTGAATGGTTTAAAGTCAAATGGGCTTATGAAAATTCACCACCACCTTTGAGAAGAACACCATTAGCTTGGGAAGTTAGGAAAACTTCTCCTTGTCGTATTTGGAATTCAACAATGATTCCAAAATCTACTAGTCCCTTACAAAGAATGAGTCCCACAGAATCTGTATGTAGAAGTCCCATTGATCAAGTTATTTCAGAAAATAAACCTGTTACTATTGATAATAAAATAAATCATATAAAAGGAGAATCTGTACACAAGTTAACAAAAGATAGTAAAAGTAATATTTCCAAAAATAATGCAACAAATGTAAATGAGAAATGTAAAAATACAATAGATAAGGGAACAAATCAGTCATTAAGTAAAGATAAATTAACTTCAATAAAAACAAATAAAACTCTTGGAAAACACACAGTGTCTGCCAAAACAAGTAACAGCATTATTGCAGATCAAAAAACTAATGAAACTTTATCTCGTGAAATAAAAAGTAAATGGGACACTAAAGGTATATCAAAGCTTGTTAAAACTGGAATGCATCAAACTACAGTTAAAATAACAGATTCCAATGTGATAACTGAAAGAAATGAGCAAGTAGTTCATACTGATAAAAATGTGCAATTAATTACTTGTGTATCAACAGAAAAAGAATTTTCAAAATCAAGTAATGTGGATAATAAATTGAATTCTCAAAGTAACTTCCAAGTGAAGCCACTGGGTCCTAAAAATGACTTAGGGCTAGAGAAAAATGAAATCAATGCTAAAGTAAAAACACAAAGCACTGGAAAAATTATTAAAGCTGCTGGTATAGAAAATGTAGCAACTGAAAATAAAATAACAGAGTCCAATGTGGCAAAAGAAAACAGTAATATTGTGGTGAATAGAAATATACAAAATATGACAAAAGTTTCCAATAAAATTAATCAAAAATTAAAAAGGCAATCAAGTGTGGGTGACAGTGCAAATAATAAAACTGCACTAAAATCTGTATCTGATATATCATCCAATAATTTAAATAAAGGATTAAATAATACAAATAAACCAGCATATTCCACTGTATCACAAATGAAAGTTGCTAAATTAAAACAACCAAATCTCCCTGAAACTCCAAAGTTTGTTAGGAGTAAAACTACATTAAGTGATAGAAGTACATCAACTTCTAATAAAATAAGACCTGGAACATCAGTGATACTTAGACAACGATTTCAGCCAATTGACAATAAGGTATTGTTATTGTTTTTATTGCGTTAACATTAATTTAGAATGTAAGATTTATAATATTCATAAATGTTTATTAGATTTCAGAACAAAGTTCATTAAAGAAAGATCAGAATAGAGATATAAATGGATCAGTGGAAGTATTAACAAAAGAAACACACGTTACGAAAACAAAAGACGAAGCTGATGGCTGGCAAACAGTTCGTGGTCGTTGCAGGAGAGGCAGTACTCATAATTTAAATATGTCTACGAGATTTTATAAACCGAGTACCGCTACATCGTTACCGGCCTTGTCAATTGAAAGTCCTTCGGAAAAAAATAAAAAAATTTGTTTAACGCCAGATGGAAATGGCAAACAAAAAAAGAAATGTATTGTAGAGAAAGAGGGAAAAAATATAAGTAACGAGGTAGAGAAAGTCAAAGGGGAGTCGGTTGTAAACCTTACCATTAAGGATAAGGTAGAAGAAGCTTTTAAGAATACTGCTAATTTAAATGAAATAAATTCTACGTCAATGATCGCAGCTATTTTTAAAAGCGATGCAGAATTGCTTGAGAAACGTATACAACAATTTATGGCTGCTCAAGCAGAGAGAGAGAGAATAATTTTAGAAGAGGAAAGGAAGACTGAAGAAGCCGATTCGCAACGCTCACAGCAGTTATCAGATGAAGAAGCAGCTTTACATAGACAGATTTTAGAATTAGAATGTACCGAAACTGACATCGATACTGAAACTGACGAAACAGATGGCGAAATGGTCCTCGAAATGGAAGATGAACAAGAAACATCTCCTAGTACAATGCCTGACGATGTTAGTTTGGAAGATAGGTACGTATCGCATTTTTTATTTTATTTTTCATTATATATGTTTAATTTAAAAGAACTTTTTACAGATACGAAAATATATTAGATGGAATGTCTTGGGCAGAGTGTGTAGACACGCTTGCTCAGTTACGCGCCTTAGTAGCCCGCCATCCTGGTAGAGCTTTAGAATTACATCAGAAGCTCTCGTCTCCATCACGAAAGAGATCGTTGCCTGAAACGTTGCGACGGTACCAAGCAAAACAAGCTTGTGCACAACATAAACGCCAAAAGCTCTTAATGGAAAAGTCGCAAAGATTACGAGAATTGTTAAATAAGGTGAAAGATGTTAAGAGTGCAAAGAACCAATTGATCGAAGATAAGAGGGTCAGAATGGAAATGAAATTAAAAAAGGCAGAAGAAAATAGAACGCAACATTTATTAGAGGTAGTAAGAAAAGCTCATGATGAAGATTCCAAACTAAAAGAAATTGCATTTATCAATGAACTTGAAGCTCAAAACAAAAGGCACGATTTTATGGCACTATGCCAAGAACAGGAAGAAAGATTACAAGTATGTCACATGTATATTTACATTTTTAATGTAATGTTTAATAAATGTTCGTATTATTTGTAATGATTTCTTTTGTAGGGTATTCAAGAAGAACGTCAACGCCGACAAGAAGAGAAAGCTGCTAAAGAAGCTGCGGCTGAAGAACGCAGACGGGCTATAGAAGCAGAAAGGCAGTTGCGTATTCAAAAAATGAAACAAGCTCGCCGCGAACGTGAAGAAAGAGTTGGTAAAATGCAACTGGAAAGAGAAAAAGAGCGACAAGTAATTATCTTACAAGTCACAGTTTAAAAATATAGTTAGGAACGATATTCAATTTGAGATGACACTAAATCCGTAGGAACATGCAAGAGAAAAAGCTAGAGATAGAGAGGAACGTTTGTCTGCACTTCATGCAGCTCAGTTAGCAAATCAAGAAGAATTACAAAAGAAAATAGCTCAAAAGCAACAAGAATCAGCTAGAAGACACGTTGAAAATATAGAACACATTCGACAAAGAGCAGTTGAATCTTCGATTTTAAGATCCGAGGAAGTTCCACCTACACTAAAATCGTACCCTGCTCATAAGCAGTGCTCCTTATGTGGAACAGTTGTAAGTTGTGATTGTCTATTATAGTTTATATATGTCCTTTCAATTAGCAATTAATATTTATGATGTTTACATTTTTTGTAGATACCTAACGAAGTACATTTGTTAAGCCATTTAAAAGGGAAAACACACATTGAAGCAGTGCGTAATACACACGATGGTCGCGAACCTTCACGAGATGAATTACAACGCTTTAATATATTACAAATCCGCGATTTACCAGTTTCAGTTGTTGATAACAATAATTCGAACGAAATTAAAGCTGCAAAAGAGAAACAGAAAGCTTTAAAACGTCGATGTCGAAAAATGAAACAACGCATGAATCTACGTGGTAAAGAGTGGGAAGATAATCATAAAGTGGACGTAAATCAATCTATCGAATCAACCAACAAAGTGAAGTTTCGGCGAAATTTAAAAGAACTGGATCGATTGTACAACAATCACTTGAAAACTGCATGGTCAAGCGTCGCTATTGCTGCTTTGGAACGTTGTCTAGGTGAAATATCAAGAGCTTTTTCAAAATCGGTAAGACATATTATTTTAAAGAAAGTAATACAGTAGAAGTAATGAAATTTAAGTTGAAATAACTGAATTGTAAGTGTAATATAAATAAGACGAAATAACGATCAGTATTTAACATATTTATAACGATGCTTATATATGTGTTCATGTACCTGAAATGTTCTAAACAGTTTTCTTCGCAGCAAATCGTTAAACATAATGTTCGAATGTTTATAATTTAACATCTTTCGATATTATCAAATTTTTAGAACATAAAGGATCACAGCATTTACATTACATGCATTTACTCCTACTATTAATTTTGAAATAAAAGTAATACGAGAAAATATAAATCAATGTTAAATATTCCAGTAAAACATCCGTAATTGTGACCTCAGTTACCGCGGTTTCACATAACTACAGTCCAAAGAAATTAAGTAAAAAATTCCTACATTCATCTCACTTCATTTCGTCACACATACACTGTATCATCATCGCATCATTTTGTTGAATACAATGTAATAAATATTTTAGAAAGAGCCCACATTCACATATCTTTTACTATTATGTTTTTATTATTAGTTATTAGTTAAATTGTTATATTTTATTATTAGTTATTGTTGTTAATGCCTTATTGTACCTAAGTAATAAATTAAACTTTACTTTATGCCTCGTGGATACGGGGATTTTAAAACATTAAAACAGTCACTTGTTAAACATTAAAACATTCACTTACCCATTAGAAAAAACGCATGAAAATGTTACAAAATAAAAGTTCTCACACTTACTCTTATTGCAACAAATTCGTTTATTTATCAGTCCATCTTCATAAGCTTATAGGATTTTTGTAAATTATACAAAGTTGTAAATTATAAGAGTACTATGATAGAAATACCATTGAAATTGCAAATAATGTGAAAAGAATTATTTTTCATGACATTTGTCCCTTTAAAGGGAACAATGATTTTCGTATCATTAAAAGCAACGGAGATGTTGCGGATGCTCAGATAAAAATTTTATTAAATGTCATGTATAATTATAGATAATTCCTAAAATTTGATATGTGACAGAAATTATATTTTAGTAATTTTGTATTTCAATAATATCTTAGTTACACTCGTTCTTTATTTATACTATTAATTTTTCTTCAACTTCTCTTCGTGTATCAAACGTGACGGAGATTCCACATTTTCACGATATTTTTATATTGTGATACGTATTGACATTAATATTCCAAGAAAGAAAATTTGTGTTTTATGATGTTTCAGTGTCCATTCGATCAAAATGCATTTCGAATTTTAAATGGGTTCGATGTTTTAACTAATCTATTGAATGTGGAGCTACAAACACAAAATGTATCTCATAATCTTCCAAACAAGTAAGTATAACAGTTTGAACTTTCAAAAATTTCTTATCTTTCACCAAATCATTTTAATAACATTAGTAAATGTAACGACAATAAACTGAACAATTTCGTGATTCTTAACTGTTAACTTTATCCCCTTAAAACTCTAATTTTACTTTGCCATATAGTTTACTATCGAAACAAGACAGTGTAATATTTCTTTCTTTCTATATTCCTTGCTTCTCACTATTTACTGCTGACAATGTATTGGTTTCGCGATATTACGTCTTATGCTGTAAAAAATGATTAAAAAATTGTAATCAACGACAAACACTGTGCTAAAGTGACTTTTCAATTATTACAAAATTTTATCGATTTTTATTGATTTTATTCAATTATTGCACAATAGAATAGCTAATATTTAAAAGCTTCATACGCTACCTAATTTAAACATATCACCTTTTTTTTCTCATCCTGGAGAATGATTTATTTTTTTAGAACTAGCCAGAAATTTGTTTTTATGTATTCTAGAAGCATCCTTTCGGTGTGTCGTGTGTACAAGCTTAGTATCAATGGGAATGACACTAACATCGAAGCGGTTTTGTCGAGCAATAAAATTCTCGTCATTTTGGATCTTCTGCTTCAACATTTAGAGGTAGGTCCTAAGCGTTATCGTTTTGGAAAAATTGTTTTTTATTTTTTATCGAAAACAGTTCGTCGAAATTTTTCACGTACACGTAAAGTGTAGTTTCAAAGGACGCATACTTTTTCTAATTTACTCGACCGCGAACGCGTAAATATCAAAATTTACCGGACTATTTCATAGCAGAAGTATTTTAAAAGGTGTCATCGCCTCTTACCATTTCATTATATCCTTGTTTTTTCAAGCTGGAATTTATCTCGTGGCGGATAGTTGGTTAGTATACCGCCATACAAATTTTTTTCTCTCGTTTGAAGTATTTTTTTTTTTTTTTCAAAGTTATAATTAAAAATAATGATATTTTTAATAAAGAAAGTAATTACGTTCGTTTTAAATCTGCATGAAAATTGTGATTTTGAAACCAAGTGTGCACGATTATTAATTTGCCTCGTTATCTGTTCGTAAGAAGTCTTTCAAAGTTCTTCTGTTGTAAAAATCGATTTCAATAGCTTTTGCAGTCGCTTTACTCGCAGTTTTCTATTTAGCATGCAGTTACAATAATATTTTGCACCTAACTTAAAAATATATTACATCTGCGAAAGAGATTAATTATTAAGCCTGTTCGCAAATATGTTTTTTTTTTTTTTTATATTAAAAAATACAATGGCGGTAATTATTTCGACTTTAAGAAATATTCCGTCTGACCTTTACCCTCTGTGATTAATGTATCACAATCTCGCGTTATTTTAATGCTCTTCTTTACCGCGTTGTTACCAACTTGGAGCTTTTTCACACTTTCTGAACTATTCTTAATATTATAATTTCTTTTATGATAAAGAAACCCACTATTTATCCGAAATCTATAAAAGAAGACAGTTGCTCCCGTTAGTAGATCAATTTTCAATGCCTCGTTTCAATTGTTAACATCTTTCACTGGATTATAATAACATAGTTAACTCATAATGTATTTCTACTTTGTGCCGATACTTTTATACACGGAGTAACAAGGAGAATTGAGATTTAAATCTACGATGTATTTCGTATACCTTTGCTTCTAATTTATTGTACAATTTCATTTACTACGGATCGCATAATTAAGAAAAATTCGTTCCTACAATTTCTAGCGTCTCCGTTCTTCGACTATGTTCACCAGCATGATTTATATTACACTCCACCGGAATCTTTTTGTACCTTTTAATTACGTCTCACTTGTGCCCATCTAACTGTATCGGATTCGATTATGCATACCGGGTGTCCCAGTTTTTTTTTTTTAATCAAACTTTGTCAGTGTTTTCTATGGGTATAACTAAGAAAAAAGTGTTATATAAACATAGGTCGTTTGAAGCTTCGTTAAAAAGTTATAATAAAAATACGAAATACGAAGGGAATGGCAACGAACCTATGGTTGCTACGATACAAGACAAGAATGGCACTGGCAAAACTTACACTCAACACCTTCAACAGGCCCAAATCGTAAATAACAGCTTGCATAAACAGACTAAATGGACTTATATATCGCTGATTGAGATAACCTCACTTTCGTTATCATTGTTGCTATAACTTTTCAACAGAGCTTCAAACGACCTACGTTCATATAACATTTTCCTCTCACTTCTACCCATAGAACACACTGACGAAGTTTGATCAGAAACGACTAGGACACCCGGTATATAGAAAATATATATAACTCTGTCGCTAAGAAGAAATTCAGTTCAATTCTACCGATACATCGCTGTATTTGAACGAACAAAAATCACACGTATCGTTGAACTTTCCTCGTTACACACACGCTTGTGCACGAAAGTGTACACATTTCACGTGAAAATTGAACGTTGGAGAAAGATACATAATCAGTGATCTCACGCGAAGCAGCCTCATATAAACCGGGAGTTATACGTGACTGGATTTCCTTTCGCTTTGCTCATTTTTCGAACTCATTTCGAGGTTGGTAAATAAACGAAGGTAAAGACCATCATGCCTGTCCTGTCCGACTTGTCAAAATAAGGATTAAGAGTTTTAAGGCTGGCTTTGGCTTGCGCCCTCGTCGCTCGGATATTCCTCTCGCCCGTTTGTGTGCCGAACACAAGTCGGCAAGCTAAATGCCGAAATCCATCGAAGAATTTCGCCTGTAAATATTAAAAGCGTAAGTATAAAGTAAAGAATCGCAGTGTGCTCTCGTAGTACACGGAGAGAATTTTATTTTCTACGTCATACTCTTCTGCTCTATTCCGCGAGAGTTGTTTTCGAAACGCTTCAAATAGGGTGGAATAATTTTGAAAACGGTAAATAGACGTCTTTCGATTGTGAAATTCAAATGAAAATGTCAAGGCTCGTTCTTTCGAATTATTTGATTTGCAATGTAAAGCTGTAAGGTAAATTCGATCGGCAATCTTAGGCTGGTTATGGTTGGTTAAATTATAATTTTATCGTTATCGAAAGAGGGACATAGGAAAGGTACCATTTTTGTGTGATTAGCAAACGATTTCTAATTTTGAAGATTTTCCATTTTTAAAATTTTTTTTTTAGCTTCAATAGTGGACACTTTTGCAAAGAATTCTTCGATACGGTATTTCTTACTGTATTTAGGACACGATATTCTGTGTAAACACGAAATGAGAGCGCGATCTTGGAAAATAATTAGAACAATTTCGATTTTCCGATGCATAAAATTGTACGAATATTAGATTTATGTATATTTTTATCAACCACAGCTCGCGTTAATGGTAAATTCGAGTATCTTTTTTTCTACGTGCCTAAGTTACCACGTGGATACTTGAGAACCACAATTTCGAAACTTTCGACGGTCATAGATTTTTTTAGTCGAGGGAGAAACTGCTACAATGGCACAACTTTAATGGATAAGTGAAGTGCAAAAAGGGAGAACGAGGTTGAAATGCACGTATCGCCGGATCTTAAAATTTCATATTACATATTGCGTTCGTAAAAAGATGGATTCTAAGTTCAGCATTCGTATGTTTACAAATTTTAGTCATTATGTATAATATTTTACGATGTTTGAAATATTCTGATTTTAGTCGTTTTTAGATTTTTGACACTTTGTATTTTTTTTTTTTATTTTATTATTTATTTCAATATAAAGTATTTTACGTATTTTTACTTAGTAAAGAGTAAGGTAATTTCATCTGCATTAATATCCATCGACAGATAAACCTAAATTTCATAGTGAATCAATTTTCACTACCGTTTTATGATCGTTGTTTCATTTTCTGATTTCAAAATGAAAAAGATTTGACATGGGTGGTGCAAAGCAGTTTATCATTATCTGAGAAACTGGAAAAATTGTGGAATCTGTTTCTCCTTTTCTAAATGTACAAAACACTAGACTCACGGAATAATAATTAATACACACTTTTTACAAATTCACTGCTTTATTTCTCCCGTTCTGTTTCTTATTTTCCTTCTTCTTCGTTTCTCGTCACTTTTCATAGATCCATAGATCCAGAATGAATGACTTAATTCAGTACAAAAATCCTTCACTCGTTGTCCCACGACTTATCACGATCTATTTTTTCTTTGTAAGATCATTATGTCGTCCCTCGGATTTTCCTTAAAATTCCTCTTTGGAAAAGAACTTACTAAGCAAAGAGAATTTTTTTTAAAGATTCCTCTCATTTCTTCCTTAGCTAACCACTTTCTTCTCAATCACTCTACGTTCAACAACTTTCGCCTGCAGCTGTTCGCAAAATCGTTCCCACCTAAGGTTGACCGACCGATCTACCGACCAACTCTCAACGACCGGCAATACATTAGGAGTCAATCGTTTCGCTCGATGATCCGTCGTAATCGGTCCGCGAATCCACTGTCGTGATTTCAGGATCGATTTTTCACGCTTCATAGATACGGCACTGGCGCCTTCCTTCTCCTGTTCCTCCCCCGGGAATCCCCCTCCGCAAATGCATTAGCGGCGAGAGAGCTTTTAGTGACGTCACCCACGCGTACACACACACGCACGTGTGTGTCCCTTTGCACGTGTGCCACGTGAACATACACGGGCAGCCGAAGGGAATCGGGTTGTACAGGGAAAGGAGTGTGTGGTTCTCCATGTAGAATGTGCGTGGGTACTTCTGTTGCCGCTTCCATCAAGCTCTGTTTCGAGGAGCCGGCCTAATCTTTTGTCTCGTCCTTTCTATCGGCGCTTTTTCAACGACCTCTTCGCACGTTCCAGAATTCGGCTGTTCCTCATATTTTATCGCCGCACCAAGCTTTTCCCCAAACTCTAGAAAGGGGATGGGGCTTTTTAGTCGATCCACGGCGAGAGAGATACATTCTTCGGGGTAACACACACGAGCTTAGAGGTTGCTGCGGCGATATTTTCGAGTTTACGGTTCAAACGTAAGAAAGCCTTCGGTGTTTTCGAGGGTGGTTATAATTGGCTCGAATTACCCGGAGAGTGTTTTTTTTTTAGCAATGAAAATTTTACGATTGCAGATGAAAGAAGTTGTGTATATGCTTTTAAGTTTTGTGGTTGGAAAACATTTTTTCTTTCTTTAGGTTAGGGAAGATGAGTTTTTTTTTTTTTTCGTGTTGTATCGTTGTTTGCCGATTTTGAGGGGACGTGGGGTACCATTGATATTTTGGATTGGTGCAATTGATAGTTTCGTAATGAAGAATAATGAGAGAAATCTTTTCTCAGTGAAAAGTAATCAAAGTAGGCAAGCTGTTGTGACATTTCCAATTGTGTTCGAGAATTTCAACTGTTCTACATGTATAACAATAAAAATGATATTGAATCCCTCCAGTCAAGTTAGTGCAAATTACATTTTTTTCAACAGTTAAAATTGCCGTGTTATATCTTTCAATATTCAATACTTCTTTTTCTTCCAGTTTATAGTTACTTGAGAATTAAATCTGTAGCAAAGAATCAATTTAACGTGTAAACAGTAAAAACTTATCGCGAATTGAGCCACTCAGAAGCCAAAATGATTAATTTAGTGTCAAAGACAATTTTAGCGTCGAATCACTAGTTTTCATAAATAAAGCAAATTTAATAAATCTCATTTTGTGGAGCTAGTCACTTGTTGATATTTCATATGTTCCACTACTTTCCCACAATTTATTCGAATAAAGTACAAACGCTCTTTCATAAACATTAACGCATCCCTTCGTCCAATTTACTAATTTCACCGAATGATAATTCGTAAGTTGTGAAACGCGTATGACTCTTGCAAACTATTTATTTCACGACAACCAGCAATTTCTCAATGTTAAATCGTTACAACTAACTTAGAACGAACATTTTAGGTTTACTCTTCGAAAGACACGATTCCCGTCGGTTTCGATGATTAAAGATCGCCTTCAGGACCGTTGTGAAGCTTATCAAGGGAAATACCGCCTCTGTTCTACTATTAAATCCGAAAAAGGAATCACAGTTTGGGCCATTGCGCAAAGAGACGGATCGTCTGTCTCGTCTAGGGTCCACGAATGCTTTTCAATCTCGTCCATTGGCCAAGCAAATTTACAATTTCCCGTAAATCGTTCGAGGTCGTTGACTCTCCCTGCTCCGGTTTTCCGTAATTTTTCACCGATGCGTACACCGTACATTTCCGTCCGAAAACGTATGAAAGGAGCGGATAAATTCGGGGCTGGACCGATTGCTCGTGAAAAAAAAAAAAAAGGAAACGGGGAAAAATTCTCCCTGTTAATCTAGGCGACTTAGACTTGAAAGGGTCGGGAACAAACAAAGCGGATTTGGTCACGGTATCGAGTTACTTGCTTTTTCGACGCGTTTTCGACATGAAGAATTTAGAAATTGGATTTCGCTTGGGAAAACAAGAGAGGCGAATTATAGAGAATTCTTTTTGGTTTTTAGCTGGAAAAATTCATACTTCCTGTTCGTATATTCCAAGTGTCGACAGAAATGTACAGAGTTTACAGAGATTTTAATCAGAGGATTCTTCGATCCACTTCGAAGTTAGGTAATAATTGCTAGTTAATATGCGTGGTTGACTAAAACATTTTGTGCATAATATGTACTTTTAACTGTGTTCTGTATTTTTGCAAACAGTAGGGTAATAAAAGATGCGAAAATTGTTGCAATAAAAGAGATTTGTCCATTCTGTTATTGTTAATTTTGATTTTAAATTAATTCTAGTAGAAACTTCATTCTGGAATTAGGGAGCTACTTAACCCTTTAACTGATACAATCACATTTTACATTAACCCTTTGCTGACAGAAGACTATGTGCCAACCAAGTACTGGTTACTTGTGTAGCACATAATTAGGTCACTACTTCAGCTTCTTTTTTCAAACTAAGTTACATGAAAATTACATTTGCCTCGAATATACGTACATGAGTTTATGATTACTATTTTTATCGCTTGAAAATATGAACTTATTGGTTGCGGTCATAGTGTTTTGTGAACGCATATGTGAGTGTATCGTTCTCAAAGGGTTAACGAGTCATGCAATAGAAATACTATCTCGACCAAAATATTCTCTATACCTTTTTCAACCTTCTCCCTTGTACTCGGGATTTTTCCCAGGTGAAACACCCTAAAATATCGTCCGATTTCAACCGGGAACAAAAACCTTCGAAATTATCCGACAGAAATTTCTCCTCGTGAAATTTAACCGAATTGCCTCGCTGTTACCGTTCGACGAACACGAAAGAATTCGAAATTTTGGCGTAGACGTGCTTTTTTCTCCGAATCGAAGCCGACAAATTTCTCAAGAACGGAGAAAAGAAGAAGAATCTCCGATGAAATGGACGAGGTTTCAAGAGAGCTAAATCGCAGGCAAACGAGCGAGAGAAATCTCGTGGCTTGGAGAGAGTTAACGGATTCGTAGCATTGTGCTGGACGACAATTTTCGTCCTAAAACATAAACGAATACGGAGAAACGTGAGCCGTTAAGTGTTCCTCGAAGGACTTATCGAACTTGTCGAGGCTAAACCGTTTAGGGGCCACATTCTCCAGGATTTCTTATCGCGTTACCTTCTGACTCGTTACCTCTAATTTAGCATTTTAAATGTCGCCTATATGTATGTGTCGTTAGTTGTCCAATCCAACGGGCTGGTATCAATGACTCAACGTGCCAAGAATTCGCCTTCCCCAGCATTCGGCTGATCTTTCGGCTGCTTGGAAACACGCGACCACCCGACTAGTAGTAGCTACTTGTCCGAGTTGACATTACAGTTTCGGCTTCGAATTAGCTTCGATCATCACTTGGCTAGCCTTTTTTTTTTTTTTTTTCGAAAGTGTTATACGAGCTTTTGAAAGGGACGTGTTAGTCACATTAAGCTGGACCAGATTTTCTCGAGACAAATTTAAGGGTGTACGTTTTTATTAACCCTTCGCGGACGGAGGATTCTGCGTGCAATATCGAAATACTGATAATTAGGCCACTACTTCGATTTTTTTATGAAACAGAATCATCTGAAAATTGCACCTTCCTCGAATTCGTAATTGCGCCAACTATTTTTATTACTTGGAAAAATGTGAGTCTGTTGGTCTCGAAAGGTTTAACGCTGGAAGAACCGCCTGGGTCAAAAATGACCCATTAGTATTCACTTTCCAAAAGTGAATTTTTAGATTTTTATATCCAATAAAACCCTTTGCACTCGAGTGACGACTATGAAGTGGCATTATTGTTCGAGGCTCTCTTAAAACTGCTATTTTACAGACTAACAGATCTATGGGTCTCTCATAGATGTTTAAGCAGTGAAACAGTTTGAAAGAACCAATTTCTATAATATAAACGTACAGTAAATATTGAAATAAAATAGTTACATTTGTTAATGTACGTATGATTTATTTCTATGTTAATTTTAAAAATTTTACTTATTTTCAAGGCAATGAATATTAATTGTTTAGCACAAGTAACGAGATCTGCTGCTTCCCTATAGCAAAACGATCTTAAACTGCAAAGGGTTAATTTGATTTTCAAAGTGTTGTAACTCTAATTGACTTTTTTCGTTACTTTTTTTTCAGCTGGTGCACTTGTACCGGGAATACACAAAAGATATTTAACTACTTTAATTATATATTGTGTATATATTTTTTCGTGTATTTAGAGCACAAAAATTTGCTATGTTCCTTAATTCAAAAGCAGTAACGATACAGAGAAATGTTATTTTACTATAATTCAGTATATAATTACTAGAAAAATCGTTTAAAATTCTAAATAACCGTAAAAAAAAAATGAAAAATACACTAAACTGATCATTGCGTTACTCGTCAACGAAAAGCCTACAATAACAAGATTATTGTAAGCAGAGAAATTGCAGTTTAATAAAAAAGTATTTACAGCTTAAAAAAAGAAAAATAACAGAAGGCTCGTGCACGATACGAATTATTCACAAGCAGTTACAAATGTAGTGAATTATTTTTGCCTGCAGACACTCACAAAACTTGACGACCCAGTGCAAGTGCAAGAGGCATCCGGTAATTCGACCGGAAGCGGAATCGTAGCCAACAGCCTAATGCAATTGCTGTGCAGTCTAATCCCGGAGGAACCCTTTGAAAAATCGGCATTACAAACACGGGTTCTGGATATTGCTGGGTGAGTAGCTGAAATACACCTTCTGCCTCGACGTTTTCGTGTTACGAGACCTTAAAGATTCGACGTCCACGTTTACTTTACTTCCCCGGAAAGGTGTACTATTTAAAGTGGTTGCACGCGTTAGATGGAACCATGCTATAAATATGGTTTTTGCTTAAGTTAGGCATAAAGACGAATTTATCGAGGGAGAGTAACTTATTGTATTAGAAAAAGTCAGATTCACGTTTCTTTTTTTTTTTTGTACATCTATATTCAAGTGAATCTTGTTTAAGTTCAGATCCTTTTAAGTTATTTTGTAATTTGTCAAGTTTTATAAATTGTTCTAAAAGAGTGTGTAAATTTATCCCTAGTTTACAGTTACAGTTAATTTGTACAAAGTTTTGTTGATCTATTTTTAGCTAAATTTTTATAACGACCGAACCTAAACAAGTAAGAAATGTTACTTTATTGTAATTTAATTTATAATTGGAAGCAGAATCGTTTAAAATTCGAAATAACCGCAGAGAGCGAAATATAAGAGAAAAGAAAATGACCGAACTTAAATGAGTAAATATAATGATCTAACCTAAATAAGTAAGTTCGAGGAATGCAGTAGAAAATTGGAATTTTTGAGAGAAACTACTTTTACACCAGTTTCTTTTCAATAGAAGATATAATTTTTGTAAAAGAAGACTGATAGTGATAAGTTATGAAGAGATCGCTAAATTCATCCATACTATAATCTATTATTTGGTGCAAATGTTTTTCACTACGGTATATTTCTGTTTCATTTAACCCTTTCGTAACACATAATTTTTTTTTAAAGAATTTATTATTTATCCACCAATCCTCGTGTAGAATTGATACCAATTTTGTTTCGAGTACTCAAGTGGGAACATACACTGCCGGCCAGAAGTTTCGAATCACAATTTACATCGATGATTAAATTGATGTTGTGGAGTCATTTCGATTGATTTGAATGATAGAAAATTCGTTAAGAGATTCTTAAAATTGCTAACTTTTTTCTAGAAATTTTCGTGTAACTTAGAATGCACAGTGATTCCAAAGGTGGTGTATATGTAAGTCACGAAAGGGTTAAAGTGTAATGCTACCAATGCAAACAAATATATTCGATAATTTATCGCACGTTTCATCGTTTACCTCTGAACTGCTTTTCAAATACAAACAATAATTTTATCGTAATTATATTTATTTACCGCAGTTGCATTATTTAATGTAAATTGAAAAGCAATCGATCTGCAATTAACTAACAGTGGAAATAACGTTATTGTTATTTCTTTCTAACGTACACAGTATTTACATTACCATTTATCTCATTTATGTTACATTACTAAAACAAGCTGCTAACAGTAAGTATATTTCACCAAAGATTTCGAACAGCGGAGTTAAAAAGCAGCGTGAATTACGAAACGCATATTTCAACTACCGTAAGTCGACACACTTTTTGTTCCACGATCGATTCAACGAACAACAGTCACATTTTGCACCGTTCCTGATTAATTTAAACGACAACTCACCGTACTCGTGTCGGTTGACATTCTCACGTCAAAGTTTCCGCCGCTTAGCCTTCTTTCAATTTATTTATTGCGCAAAGAACACGCTGCACACGAATTTCTTTTTTTCTTTCCGAGACAGATAAGAAGAAAGGGGTTTAACAGTTTGACGCGCATGGACCACCTCCGTGGAAAAACATGACAACTCTGTCGCGTGAACTGAACTTAATACGCTAGTCACGACCAAAGTGACAAGGCGCAAGCTGTTTTCGTTGCATTCGCCGGGATTTGATTTTCACCAGAAAGAAACGTTGCACCTGGGTCAACTTCCTCCTTAGGGACCGCCCAATTCGTCGGCCAATCCTTTCCTATTTTTTTTTTCTCGTTTTTATTATTGCTACTCGAACACCGTCGTCCTACGTATTTAGGCAAGAAAGTCGACTTTTCTGTATCGTAATTTTTAATCGAAAATTTACAGTCGAAATATTCGTATTCGATGTTCTCAAAGAAAATATTCCTATTCGAAGTTCTCGAGGATTCGATGTTTCACTAAAAATTTGTTAAAATTTCCATTTCTTTTCTTTTTAATCATCTTTCGGGAAAAATTATGAAGTTTGATATTGAAATCGCTCGCATAGAAAATATGCAGGGTCGGGCACGTAAAGCAGGCCTAGTTATGGTGGTACGAGAAAACTTTTAAACGTAATTTAAATAGTATCAAAGGGCGAATAGTATGGAAGAAAAATTTTTTTGCCGGAAAAAATGAAAGGAAGTTTCACATTTGCTTTAAAATTTCGAAATCCAGGATAATTTTAACAACCTCGTGATAAGTATCAAAAAGTATAATAAAAAAAAAAAACGCGTATTCGCCCTTTGAAACCACTGAAATTCCGTGTAAAAATTTTCCCGAGACCACCGTGGTTACTGGTCCCTTTTACTTGGTCCACTCTGTATATTAAATTCTTGCAATTCCTTTCGTACACGTAAACAATAATCAAACAACATAATAATATAAGCAAGCAAATGAAAATTGAAATAATGTTTCACTATCTTAACCAATTTGTTGCTGCGCATAAACTAACAATGCATCTCCGTGAAACATTGGCACAGCTAAGCTGGTGGTAATATTTTATAGCTGGGTGAATCTGCAAATTTTCGAGTTTACTGACTGTAACGTCTAACTTTGAGTAATGAACGACGAAGGAAGGCGCGATCAGAATATGATTGCTGGCCGGCCGCCGGTAGTCGAATTATTATGATTAATTTCCTGCCGATGCGAGAATGGCCTAGTCACGATTTTTATTCACCGTCAAGATTGCTTTCCGCTCGTACCTTTAAAATGCACAGATGTCTAAGTGCGATCGATCATTTAACGCGTACCTACCTCGTAACGTGTATTTGAGAAGCGTTAAATACATTCACCGCCGTTCACCCTATGGAAAAAAAAAATGAACCCATGCCACCCCCCTTCACGTGCTGTGATTACGATTTCCTACGATAAATTTCATTGCTTATCAGTTTTCCAACCCAAAAGTGGTTCAATTTTAGGCTTTATTAAGTAAAACGTTAATTTCAGATTTGAGAAAATTTTGGGCATGGTAGTTACGTGTTTTCGATATTAGAAACACAATTTTCCGATCAGCATTTTTCTAATCTAAAATAAACTTAATATTAGGCTTTATTAACTAATACGTTAATTTGAGATTTGAGAAAATTTTGGGCGCGGTAATTCTGTATTTTCGATATTAGAAACACAGTTTTCTGCATAGGGTGTTTCAGTTTATACCGATCAGCATTTTTCTAATCCAAAGTAGGCTTAATTTTAGGCTTTATTAACTAATACGTTAATTTGGGATTTGAGAAAATTGTGAGCGTGGTAATTCTGTGTTTTCAATATTGGGAACACAATTTTCTCTATAGGGTGTTCCAATTTTTCTAACTATTAAATAATACGTTAATTTGGGATTTGAGAAAATTGTGAGCGCGGTAATTCTGTGTTTTCAATATTGGGAACACAATTTTCTCTATAGGGTGTTCCAATTTTTCTAACCCGAAGTAGGTTTAATTTTATGCTCTATTAAATAACACATTAATTTGGGATTTGAGAAAATTGTGAGCACGATAATTCTGCGTTTTCCATATCGGAATTTTCTGTATATACATGGTGTCTCAGTTCTTCAAACTTTGCCAGTACGTTCTATGGATATAAGTAAGAAAAAAGATTGTACAGACATATCTCACAGTTTTTCAACCTACGATTAAAGAATCATGCACGTTAGCATCTCTCACAAGAGTTATTTTCTTTCTGTTGCCGAATGGGAACGAAAAATGGCCGGTTTGTCATAAACCGATACCACAAAGCTAGAAGCTTCCCAGAACGTGTGCCATCATTTCTCTTTTCGTTGCTCCTTTTTCTCGTGGACACAGCCCACAATGTATTCCAGGGTGCTGTGAATTTTAAATGATACGTTATTGTGCAAAGGAAACGCGTTTTCATCTGAAAAATTCGGCTAAAGTGCCGTCTTTATGGGACTACGAACGTTGGAACCTTTATAGAAGAAAGCAGGCTCTGGTAATGCAGCAGAAATAATTAATCGTATTTCAAGGTCTTACAGCGTTCCTGTATATTAAGATTATTTATTCAAAGTCGACGTTACGATTTCAAACGAAAAATCACACGAAACATTATCGAACTACTCTACAATTAACAAATAACGACTAATCGATACCAAGAACGAGTTAATATCCATTCTCAAAAGCGTATCGAATATTATAGAAATTATTTCAAATGAAAATTTTTCTTTTCAAAATGAACCGCTTAAAACCGCGGGAATTTTAAATCATTCTATAGAAGATAATAGACTAATTCGAAAGATATTGCTGATTTTAACCTCAACAATGAGGACACAGGGATTTTTCTTGACCGAAAATAAATGCGATCGAAATCGTAAATAAAATTAGACAGAACTTGGAGCATTTGTTATCGCGAAGAAAAGGCGTAATGAAAAAGACGCAGAGGCTTAATTCACAATCCAGTATAATCTAGAACTCTCGAAGGCGATGATAATCGGGGCTCAAGTGGCAATCGGCGAGGTAATTGCTGGAACGCTCGTAGAAAAATCAGTCGGCAAACACTCTTATTATTAATCCCGATGAGATGATCGAAATGAACGTTCTTCGAGCGTATTCCCTTTCGCTTTTTGAGATGTTGATATAGTGTTAATCGAAGTAGGATCAACCCGAGCAATTGGTAATTTACTTGTAAGACGCGTGCGACTGTTTCACGGCCACTTATACGTGCAACACACGCTGTATACAATTTATTAAAAATTTTCTTTCCACATCGTTCTTTCGCTTTACGTTCGAAACGAATTCGAAAGAAAAGTTTGTCAAATTTGATCCAACCTTTGCCTTTCAGTTGTAACCTGCGTAATTACAGTTTTTTTTTTCAATGATTCTAAGTCACTTTGGGATGAATAGGACGGTAGATTTCTAGAAAATTTCTTA